AGCAAGCTTGTTTTCTGCTGCTCCAGAGACTCGACATGGAGCAATGGATTCAAGCTACCGGAAAACAGACTCCCCCTCAACATTATAAAGAGGCTAAAGCTTCCTGACAGTAAGAGCTGTGTGACAGTGGAAGACACTTCTTGAGGGTGGTGGAGTCTCCTTCTTTGGAGGTTTTAAAGCAGAGACCAGATGGCCATCTGTCCCAAGGAGGGCTTCGATGGTGTCTTCCTGCATGGCAGAATAGGGTTAGACTGGATGGCCCATGGGGTCTTTTCCAACTCTGTGATTCTATGATTCTAAAAAAAAACAACAGCAACCGCAAAGACCTTTTACCCATCTCTCTCTATGGTCTGAAGCGGAGCACAACAGAGTAGGTGCATTGCACCAGTTAAAAGAGTACGTAAAAGCAATGCATAATTAAAATAATCAGTACACACATTAAAAGTCCTAGGAGACTACTCCCAGGTTGTGAAATTCCCTTCCATGCAAGGTTCAGTTACCATCCCTCCTTTGCTTTCACTGGCAGGCAAAGACCTTTTTATTCAGGTAAGCCTTTAGTGGGCCCTTGGTATCTGCTGGTGTTTGGTTCCAAGTCCCCCCGTCCATGGATACCAAAATCCATGGATGTTCAAGTCCCATTAAATACAATCACATAGCAAAATGGTGTCCCTGATATGAAATGGCAAAATCAAGGATTGCTTATTGGATTGGGGGGGGTGTATTTTCAAACCATGGGTGCATGTATATGTGTAGCAGAGGGAGTTTTTCATGCATCTGATTGATTGATTGATTGATTGATTGATACTTTGCTTTTTTCCTTGTACAAGATCCAAGTTGGCTTACAAACAATTAAAAACACAGTACAGTTGTAATGTAAAGGTAAAAGATAAAGGCTTCCCCTATGACAAGGTTGTTAAGTCATGTCCAACTGTAGGGGGCCATGCTCACCTCCATTACTAAGCCGAAGAACCAGCATTGTCAAAGATGACTCTGTGGTCAAGTGGTCAGCATGACTGCACAGAACGCTGCTACCTTCCCACTGAAGTGGTACCTATTTATCTGTTTGCACTTTTACATGCTTTTGAATGGTTGGAATGTGCCTTCAAGTAATTTCTGATTTTTGGTAATCCTAAGGCAACCCTCTCATAGAGTTTTCTTGAAAAGATTTGTTCAGATAGGGTTTGCCATCATTGCCTTCCCCTGAGTCTGAGAGAGTGTGACTTCTCCAGGGTTTACCCAGTAGGATTCCATGGCTGAGCCACAACCTTAGCTCTCAGGACCAAGTCCAACACTCAAACAACTACACCATACTCGCTCTCCGAAAAACAAGATACGGCTTTAAAAAATTACCTGTACAAAAGTTTTGAAAAGATAAGCAACAGTTTGTTAGAAAACACAAAATTAAAACAATATAAAACATAGTAAAAACATAGCATAGCCCCATTAAAAGCCCTGTGTGCCACATGCTGCCTTATGGCATGAGAAAAGAAAGCTGAAACGGAGCTGGAGAATAGTGGCTTTCTCTATGCCTCTCCACATACCATCATAGCACTTCCTTTCTCTTTACAAGGGAGATGGTCATAAAGGCATCCCTTTCATCAAACGGATTTTTCTTTTTTTTTTTTCTTTTTTTATAATTTTATTGTTAAAATATAATAACACATAAGCATACATATAACATATATAGCATCAATACTTACACACAATCTATACATACACACATTCTATGCATACATATACATATACATAAATATTACAGTATCTTACAAACCTACATACAACAATATCAATTATACCTCATACAAACCTACATACAACATAAACAGTTACACCTCATTCAGTTTTCATTATTCAATTCATATGAAAAGTAAATTGACTTCCTTAGTGAATATCTACCCTTTTCTCTTTGTAAAAATAAGATTTAGTGATTTCCTTTCTTAATCAGTACTAAATGCATTTAAACAAATACAATTTGAACAGTATACTAATTTAAATTAATCATAAATCAATGATGGTTTTTGTTATTCCCAATATTCTTTCCTATCATCTTCTTTATCATAATATTACTGATTTTGGTAATGTACTTATTGTTTTTCTGTTTTCTTTATCCCAGTATTCTTTAAAGCGCAACCAGTCGTCCTCTACATTTTCTTCTATTTTTGTCAAATGGATTTTTCCAGCACAACAAAAGATGCACTTTTATGACTGTCTCCCTCAGGAAGAGAATGGAAGTGCTACAACTGCATGCGGAGAAGCACAGAGAAAGCTGCTACTCTCCCACTCTGTTTTGGCTTTCTGTTCTCATGTGGTAAGGGTCATGAACTGCAAGATAAAAGCCTGCCTGAATTAAATGGTAATTTCCTTGCAGAAGGAAAAGAAAGAGGGAGTCAGCCAGAGAATTCCATAACCTGGGATCAGCCATCAAGAAGGTTCTCTCCTGTGATGGCGGAGGGAGGTAGAAAAAGTCTTCCCCTAAAGATCTTGGGCAGGCTCATATATGGAGAGACAGTCTTTTAGAAAGCATCTAGGTTCCCCCCTCCTTCTATAGGAAAGGTTTTACAAGCCTGAGACCTCCTTTCCTTCCATCAGGTGCCTGCCCACCAACTCATCCTTTTCCCTCCTTGCAAGTGGAATGGCGTGACTTTAAAACAGCATTGTTTAGTAGGTTTAAAACTTTTGTACTGTACATTGTTTTAGCTTTGTTTGTTGTTAACTAGTGTCAAATCGACTTCAACTTATTGTGGCCGTAGGGATGAGAAACCTCCAGGTCCCTCTATTCTCAAATGCCCTGCTCAGGTCTTGCAGACTCAGGGCAGCCATTGTGGATTCCTTGATGAAGTCCATCCATCTGCAGCACCTTTTCTTGCTGCCTTATACCTTAGTATCTTTTCTATGTCTTCTTGTAATGTGGCCAAAGTGCAACAGTCTCAGTTTAGTCTTGGCTTCTAGGGAGAGCTCTGGCTTGATTTGCTCTAGGACCCATTTATTGGTCTTTTTGGCTGTCCATGGGATCCGTAGATCTTCTCCAGCACCACACTTCAAATGAGTTGATTTTCTTCCTATCCACTTTCTTTACTGTCCAGCATTCACAGCTATACATAGAAATGGGAATGCGATGGCATGGCCCATCCCAACTTTAGTATTCAGTGATATATGGCAGTCTCACAGCCCCTACTTTATCCACAATAACGTCCATCTGTTCCATTTTTCAAATCCACAAAAGTTATGAAAACCAAAGGCACAAACCAGACAGTTTATAAAATGTTCTCCCATTTTAGCCAGTTGAAATCCAGTGCCAAACAGGTGAAGACATCTTCACTCTCACGTGCACCAAAATAGGAAATTGAACCATAAGAAGCTTTATGCATGGCCTTTCCTCTTGAGTGAGCTTTAAGACAAAAATGGAGACCTATTAGGAAATAAATATATGGCAAAACATCTAGATGAACAAATAAAAACATTTATAGAAAAGATATATCGCTCAATCTGCCAGAATGAAGACCATAGATCATTGTAACAGATCTAAAATGTGTTACATGGGGTAATAAACATCCACTTCGATATAAATTTCACCAAGTTTGATAGATAAAGTATGCTGAAATTGGTATAGCGCTGGCCGAGCACAGATTGGCATGATGCATTTTGATGCAACATCCATCATAAAGGGAATGTTTGATAGGAAAAGGCAGAATTCTTGCAATCCGTATTAGTACATTTCAGGAGCTTATCGAGCTCTTTCCTAGCTGCCCTTCCAAATCTTCCTTTTCTTTTGATTACTTGACTGCTGTCTCCATTCCGATAAGCGACTGAGCTAAAGTATGAAAAATCTTCAACTCTTTCAATGTCTTCATCCTTTACTTTAAAGCTATGTAAATCATCTGTGGTCCTTCTTTTTATTTTCTTAAAGGCTGAACAGTAAACCTTTAGCTCCATGTTGTTTTAACCTACATTGCAAGCTGCTTTGTGTCCCATATCAGGAGAACCTTGGAATATAAATGAAATAAATGAGTAAACATGAATAAATGGTCACAGCAAGGCTTTATGTTTCCTTCCAACTGTGGTCCCTAGCAAAGCCTGGAACGTTTGCAGATGCTACTGAGCTGAAAAATCTATTAACATTTCTGTTGGGTGAGAGCAACAAGTCAAGTTCCCTTTATATTAAATGTTGATGGCAATGATGGAAACCATGGAGATGACAGCCGTGGAGGCCGGGGGCATCCCTGTGAATGGGACAGTGAATCTGCTGTAGGCTTTACTTGCCATTAAAGGAGCTCTCCAAGGTGCTGAACTTAACCTCCAATAGGTTCAGCACTTTGGAAGATCCTTGGAAGTCATCTTTGATTAGTATTTTATCTATTTATTGACAGTTTAGAATCATTGTTGCTGTTTTGTGCCTTCAAGCTGCTTCTGTCTTATGGTGACCCTAAGGTAGGGACCGGCAACCTACGGCCTGGGGGCCAGTTAAGGCCTCCGGCCCCGGACTTACTGGCCCAGGCCGAAGGTTGCTGCCATCGCCGCCGCCGCGCGCTGCCGTCGGGGCACGTTTTCGGCCGCGCTCGCTGCGATCGCCATTTTGGAAGTCAAAATGGTGGTCACGATGTGTTTGCACATGCGCAGTACTCTTGCGCATGTACAAACGCATCGCAGCCGCGATTTGGACTTCCAAAATGGTGGCCGCGACATGCGCTGCGGCGGGTGCGGCCACACACGCTACGGCGGCGTCTGTGGTAGCGACCACTGCGGCAGCATGTGCGGGGGGCGCACACAGCGGAGGAAGGTGTATGCGTGCGCATGAGCGCGTGCAATGCCATTTCCCCCCCCCCTCGGCCCAGCCGAGACCTGGGCTACGGGAGACCGGCCCAGGTCTCAAAAAGGTTGCCTGTCCCTGCCCTAAGGCCATGGGATTTTCTTGGCAAGATTTGTTCAGAGAGGGTTTGACTTTGCCTTCCTCTGAGGCTGAGAGAGTGTGACTTGACCAAGGTCTCCCTGTGAGTTTCCTTGGCCAAGCAGAGATTCAAACTCTGGTCTCCAGAGTTATAGTCCAACACCCAAACCACTATGCCACGCTGGCTCTCTTTTGGAATAACAGAATCATAGAGTTAGAAACAACCGCAAGACCCATCTGGTCCAAGCCTTGTCATGCAGTAATAAACAACTAAAAGAAGCCCATCCTAATGCTATTAAAGACTTTATAAACAACTACAAAGTTGTTGTTTAGTTGTTTATTACAAAGAGTCCACTATGCTTTGAGACAATCTATTCCATTGTCAAACCACTCTTAAAGTTTGGGTGGAATCTCTTTTTTTGTAATTTGACTATGGTGTAGCTGCCTGAGTGTCAGGTTAAGATGCTGGGAGATCAGGGTTCAAATCCCCACTTGGTCATGGAAAGACCACTGGATGACCTTGGGCAGCTCACACTCTCCCAGCCTTAGAGGAAAGCAACGGCAAACCTCCTCTAGAAAAAGATCTGGCCAAAAAAAACCCTGTGATAGTTTGGCCATAGGGTCACTGTAGGTCAAAAATGACTTGAAGGCACACAACAACAACAACAACTTTGTGGAAGGTATTGGAAGAGGGGTAGGAATCATCCAGTTAAGTGATAGAATCATGGTATATAGAACCCTAGAGTTGGGAGAGACCCCAAAGGCCATGCAGTCCAACCCCATTCTGGCATGCTGAAGGGCATTATCAGCAGAGGGGTGGCATAAAATCCATTAGATGATGAGCAAATAAGAGGAGTGGGCAACCATGGCAGATGGGGGGCAACACAGAATCATAGAGTTGGAAGATACCCCAAGGGCCATCCAATTCAACCCTATTCTGTCATGCAGGAACTCACAGTCAAAGCACCCTGACAGATGGCTATCCAGTCTCTCTTTAAAGACCTCCAAAGAAGGAGACTCCACCAAAATCTCTGAGGAAGGAGTGTCTTCCACTGTTGAACAGCTCTTACTGTCAGGAAATTCCTCCGAATATTAAGGTAGAATCTCTTTTCTGGTAGCTTGCATCCATTGTTGCATCCATACTATTCTCTGGAGCAGCAGAAAACAAGCTTGCTCCGTCCTTATATGACATCCTTTCAAATATTTAAACATGGCTATCACGTCACCTCTTAGCCTT